CGACCCTGCCGCCGACCCCCGCCCCGCAACCCCGACCCCCGGCGGGACCCCGCAGGCGCACCCCTCCAGGCACCCCCGGCAGCGGCAAACCCCGATCCCCGCAACCGCCAAACCCCGCAACCCCGCTGCCCCGCAGGGTACACCGCCACCGCACCACCGGCTCCGCAACCCCGACACAGATACCCGCCAGCACATCCCCGCCCCCGCGCTGCGGTAACCCCGCTCCCGCCAAGGGAGGTCCGCGCTCCCGGGGGGGACCCTATGTCAGGGCATTTTTTGCAGGACACAAAAAATGCCAGGGGCTGCACGCCGGCGGTGCGCACCCCCCTCTGTTTTTTTGTTTTTTTGTTTTTTTTTCCCATACTGGGGGCCGGGGTCCCGGGTGCCGACCCCCGGAACCCCAGAACCCCGGCGGGGTCCCGGGGCCGGGGGTCGACAACCCTGGCTCAGACTAACGTCAACAATGGGGTCGTTGATGAACCGCGAGGTTGTCCTATGAGTACAGCAGCAAAGTGCGAACTAACTCGGAGTTGTGGAAATCCCCAAATAGGAAGGCTCACATAGCAGGTCAAGGCGACTGGTGTCCATCCTCAAAGTAAGGACAGTCGTAAATCTGTCTCCACCTACCACCTACGAATTCCAATGTTTGGACACCCGAACGGTGATGCGAAATTTTTCGTAGAGTGTAGTCATTGTAGTTGTCCTTGTGTTCCAACGTGAAAAACTTCTCCTCACACAATCCGAAAAGGAAGTGAAGTTGGGCATGCACCAAACAGTCAACCCTTTGATTCAACTCTTTTGCGAGCGAAGGATCTATTTCGAATCGTTCACTGAAGCGCTTAAAAGCACCCGTGGACGCGGGCTCGCGAAAGTCTTCCCCCACAAGGAAGAAAACTCTCATTCGCTTACCACAAAGCTTGGCCGCCATGAAAAGAGTCAGCACAGGGGTGTCATGGTTGAACAGACGAACTCGGCCATGGTAGTCTATGGTCACAGGAAAACGCAACTGTGGCTTCCCGATGCAGTACCATGCGCAAAGTTTAGCATGCTGGTCGTCCATACAATCCCAGTCTTGTTCGAAGCGCAGTGAGTCCCAGGATTTTACCATATCCTCGACGTCTACCTTCTCCTCCTAACTGGATGAAACTTTCCAATGTTGGACTTCTTCTAAACTCCAGTAGAGGTACCACATATTTGATCCTCTATCACGAACTATTGTAGTTTGTCCATCAAGAACACGTATTTCGGGTGCAATGTAACCGTCGAGGCCGACCCCAGCTTTGATATGATGATAATCACTGTCAAGACTGAGCATTCCTCGTGCCCAAACGCATTTTTTCATGATGATAAAATCCCTGTTCACATTCTCAATCGAAAAGGAATACTCGCTCGCGTACGACGAGGTTTTGTAGGACGTTGTCTCGTTTAGAACGTCGCACGATGGTGTGTCGTCGTCATCCATCCTGCAGGACAAGAAATCGGAATTAGTTCGCAGTTCATGTCTCGTCATTATCTTTGCGGAGTTCGTAGCTACCAAATCCGAATCAGTTCGCATTTAACTAAACAGGCACGTCGGATGGACCGGAAAAATAGCCGTCCCCCAAGGCCACAAGCGCTTTCTCGCAAACGGATGTCGATATTGTAAGGCCTGTCACGAATTTGCTCTCATCCGTCCCTTTGCGAAAAGGTCTTCTCCAAGAATAAGCCACGGTTTCGGCGCGTTGCCATTGTTCCTCGTTCGAAGTGGAAAATTTCTACCTCTTCGTCCAAGCGCCGGAGAACCTTTCGCGAAGATCGGACGAGTGACCTGTAGGCACCCATCACTGTATACATAAACAACCGAAATGAGGTGAGGAATGGTCGTCCACAACCACAGACTGTGCTCTGCCAACCCAGAACGGGACACCTTCAGACAATTCCTCATCAGGCGGCCTAACAATCAGAAAATCACATTTGTTTATATGGCGCCGAGGGTCGAAATCCACTTTTGGACGGCCCGCTCTCGGTCCGACATATAAGCGAAGCATCTGGCAAAGGAGGGTTGGCTTCTTAAACTTCCTCCACAATGTCGACTGATTGTGGCCAGAAGGTGTGAGGGTAGATCTTGGGCTCGTCCGCCCCAAGGACATCCTCTTCCTCACCCTCTTCCGTCTCCTTCTTCTTTTGTTTTTGGATCATATCGTCCAGTAAGATGTTTTTCCAGTAAGACAAAGCATCCTCCTGCTTGTCGACCTCCTCCTTCCTATATGTCTGCCACATATGTCTATGCTGTTCGAGGACATCCAGAAATTTTTGGACACTTTCATGAGCAATATGAAAATCCTCTTTAACGATACGGGGAATAACACATGGTTGTGGAGGGGAGGTAGGGCCTGCATACTGCCCATCGACAACCGGGAACCAGTGAACTGGTCTGCCTTCCGGCATCCATTCCGCATCGGTACAGTACTTCTTGTACACCATGACGGGACTGTCGTCACGCATGAAGAATTTGAAGAGATGCGGTTTCGACACACCGACGATGCTTTTGTTGACGTATCAATCCACGACTAGGCGCCAATCAGCAATGTGATCGAGCTCAATGCACTTCGGCGGTATCTTGTGCGACGACTCGATAAGCGAGAACAATTGCTTCATGGTGTAAGCATCGTTGTCCTTCAATTTTTTCGAGAAAACACTCAAAGTCGCGTCTATGTCAGTATGTGTATGGCCAACGAGCATGAACCCCACTTCGACATCTTTGAAAATCTCGAATTTCACCAGAAGAGAGGCCAAACACATAAGGTATTGATTTTTGTTTTCCCTCCAACAATTGTCCGCCTGGATTCGGAGGTGGCGTGGCCATTTCTGTCCCGAGACCTGCAACTCACATAGAGTCCGCATAACGCACGTCATGGTGCCATCGGAACCGTGCGCATAGAAAGGCAAATACGTGTAAACATAAATGGACGGTTTCCTTCCGTGAGCAATGACCGCGGTGAGGTTCGTTTTCATCATCATGTCGTGTCGATGATCCTTGGAGTAATTATACATACCGGTGTGAGGAATGGTTGTCTTTTTCTGATCCATTCCATCCACTATAAGACAGAGGTATTTCGCGGGGTTTAAAATGGAATGAAGTTTCTAGTGAGCGTAATCCGCACGGTGAGCGACCTGATCTAGTTGGTGTTTGCGGAGCTTTTCATCGAAATCCCTACGGTCACGAAGGAGAAAGGCGTTATCTCTGGCCTGTCTAAGGCGGACACACTCGCCACACTTTGTGAACGAGTTGGACTTGGCAAGGTCGGCATGCCATAAGTACTTCCTCCATATGGAGTAGAAGACTCGCTTCGAAATGACGGTCTGACCCGCGGCTTCCAAGTCCGCCTTGATGGACTCGTATAGAAGGAGTTTCGTGACATAAGCAGGGAGCCTAACTTTAGGTCTCTGTGAGGTCCCCCTCACAACCATTTCGTTAGGCATAGTATCTCCATGTTCTTCCACGAACCTTGTCACACGAGCAAGCATGCTCACATATTCCGGTCTCGGGTTCAACAATCCCCATCGACCATGC